CCTACTATGGGCTAATATTATCCTATATTGTTCCTCTTCTTCACACACTTGATCTTAGCCAAATACAAATGTATCTATTTTATTTAATTTTTACCTCTCTTTATCTTTTTATCCCTTATTCTACTCCTTTTAATCTTTTATTTTTCTTTAAATGTTGTCTCTGTTGTTTTGTCCTTTGACTTTCCTGTACAGCATCTTGGTTAATGTATCTCTGTGTACGAAAGGTGCTTCATAAATAAAATGTACCTGCCTTGAGGAACACACACTGTTGAGAGAAGAGCAAGAACAATTAGGGCTGAAGAGGAGAACACAGTAGATGGCGGTAATGCACATTGATGTTGGTTGCCACCAAATCACTAAACTAAATGTAGAAGAAGATTTTGCCATCGGTTGCCACCCGCCAATAAACCGAACAAAGAAAAGAGATACAGAAATTCCTCAATTCCTTGCTCCAATACAATAGTACAAGCTAGTACATATGGTATACAGCTGAAAAAGATTTCCCCTCTTTAAAAAATTCAGTATGGCCTGGTTACCTTCTGCTTTAGGTTAGTGATGTGGGGATTCCACATGGAATAAAAATAAAAGAGACAGTAAAGACAACAAAACCTTAGATATGACAGACACATGCATTTTAGTAGTATATTATAGTAATGGTGAGTCAGTGTGAATGTGGATGTTGGGGGAGGGTTCTGGATAGGATGAATGGATTTTCCAGGGTGTTCAGTGCTAACAGTGCAGTGTTGCAGTGCAGAGTTGAGCTTCATAGAAAACACCCTCAATGCACCACAAAAGCCAGTGCTCACTATGCTCAGTGACCATAAGTAACACTGCTACACTTCCACTGGAGTAGTTGCATCCCTTACCCTGTATAGTCATTCACTATCTTTGAAAGAAGATACGAGATTGATGCATTAATCAGCTCTTATACTGTATGTGTACTGTATGTGTTACTGATTTAAGTCTGTCATTGGTGTCACATGAACACCATCTAAATTGCCAGTAGACCAGAATGTGAAGCTAGAGTAACACTCACTTCAAGTACCCAACTACATCTTCTATCTCCAGCCATCCTACAAAATGTCTTCTTTTTTTTTTACCATATACTGTAGTATAGGTTATAAACCCCACATCGTTAGCGGATGGGACATCAAAGACTGAAACTAGAAAGTCAAATACATCAAAAACATCTTTCTCAAATAAGTGTTTTTTTTGTCATCTTAGCTAATTGTTATGACGTAAGTATAAGCGCTTATTTTCTAGTAAGTTTTGTTGTTATATTTGGATGCTCTTAAATTTGGATGCTCTTAAACATCATAGGCAGATTATAGAAACTCAAGTGGTCAAGCATGTGTATCAGTAGTATCTCAGTACCGCAGCTCCATCTCTATATCACCACAGCAGAGACAGCATTTGTAACTGGGCTATTTTGGCTTAATTTCGTAGGTTGTGGGAGAAAGTGGAGATGCTCTGGGTGGCTAAGGCTCGGGAAGCAGAGCGGGTCTTCCACTAACCAGAGGTTTGTTTGACAAAGTGCCCTTGGATAAGATACTGAATCCATAATTGCCCATGAGTCTGAGGCATTGTATGGATGGTGTGTCAAAGAAAAAATGCTGCATGAAGCCATGTATGTGTGCATAAATGGGTGAATGGGACTTGTACTGCAAAGCATAGAG